CTGCAGCCTCAGGATTATGAGATAGTGTCACTGTTCACCAAGCTACTAAAGTCCCATAAAACACAACATTTCTTTATTTGCCCATTTTCTTCTTAAATGTCTGTTGTTGTTTTTTTTGTCTCCTTCTCTTCCTTCCTTCTCTTTTCATCTTTTTGCTTTTTCTCACCGTCATGCTCTTTGTTTGTCTTCTTTAAATGTTTCATGATGAGAATCAGCACCTCCAAATCTGAGGCCATGGCCCTCAATCAGAAAAGGGTGGATTGCTGTCTTGAGGTCAAGGGTGAGGTTCTGCCTCAAGTGGAGGAATTCAAGTATCTCTGGGTTTTGTTCATGAGTGACGGAAGAATGGAGTGTGAGATTGACAGACAGAATGGTGCAGTGTCTGTAGTATTTGAAAGAACGAGACTGTGGATACAGGTGGTTGAAATGAGTCTCCTCTGCAGGGTAGCTGGACTCTCCCTTAGAGATAGGGTGAGAAGTTCAGTTATCTGGGAGATATTCAGAATAGAACTGCTGCTACTCCACATCGAGAAGAGCCAGTTGAGGTGGTTCGGGCATATGGTAAGGATGCTTCCTGCATGCCTCCCTAGGGAGGTGCTTCGGGCATGTCCGACTGAGAGGAGACCCCGGGGAAGACCCAGGACATGCTAGAGAGACTACGTCTCTCAGTTGGCCTGGGAATGCCTTGGGGTCCTCCCAGAAGAGCTGGAAGAGGTGACTGTGGAAAGAGATGTCTGGGCCTCCCTGCTCAAGCTGCTGCCCCTGCAACCCAACTTCAGAACAGGTGGAAGATAATGGATGGATGGAAATGTTTCAGCTAACATTAAAAGTTCAACCATTCTTCCACTACCGTTCACCCTTTTCAGCAGTCATTCATCACTTAGCATTTCACAATGCATCTTTACAGATAATGCATATTTTCTAGTTATGTTCTGTATGTTATGTATTTTCTAGTAAGTATCATTAAATATGTTTTCCATTAAGTGACATCAGAATACCTGTCACTCATCTCCCTCGTTACCGTCTATGGCTTTACATTACATCAGTGATATAAATATAGTACAGCAACTCATGTTGAAAGTAAACAAGTTTTCAATGTGTTCTTAGGTAAATGTGAGATATGTTTAAGTTTGATTATTCTAACTTTATTGTAACCAGTTATTATTGTTATATTTTTCAGGAGTTTCCACTCTGCTCTGTTCCTATTATGGGAACTAAGCTAAATACTGAGACATCACCAATGTCAAATATCGGCAACGTATTCTCCGAAACCACAGAAACCCATCACACATCATTCTACAATGAATCTGGTCGGGTGTTTCGGGAAAATACTCTAAGTCCAATGGAAACTGACAACAACCACAAGTTTTCAGGAGATTTATACACTCATGACAATGACATGACAACATTCAACACACATATGTCATTTATTGAAGAAGCAGGAGCTTATTATGAGGACATCGCCCTTCCTGATGCTTTCCTTGAGGACTACTACTCACAGGTACTGCTAGCTTTGAGGTCATTACAGATTCTCCATTTACAGTGCCTTGAAAATGTCTTCATATTGAAACATATACAATGTTTTACTGGGATTTTATGTTATACACTGGCACATGGTAGTACAAAACCTCAGTGGACAGAAAATAAAATATGGTTTTCAAAATTACTTAGAATAAAAATATGAGAACTGTGACCTAGTCTTGTATTCAGGCACCCTGAGCCCATACTTTGTAGAACCAGCAACAGTTTGTCTTTACCAGATTTGCACATCTAGAGACTGAAATTTCTGCTCTTCTTTGCAAAATAGCTCAAGTTCAGTTATACTGAAAGACTCGAGCCTTGCCACAGATTCTTAGTTGGATTTAGGTCTAGACGTCTGCAGCTTCTCCAGAATTCCCATGAGCTTACTGAATGCCTCTTGAATGATTGCTCTCCTTGCTCTCACTCAGTTTAGGTGGACGGCCACGCCCTGACCTGATATGTTTCCAGTTTTACTGTACTCTTACCATTTTCAGATGATGGAATGAACAGAGGCTTTGTGAGATGTTCAAAACTTGGGATAAAGTTTTATTCCTTAGCCCTGGTTCAAACTGCCCAACAGCTTTATCACTGATCTGTCTGGTGTGTTCCTTGGTCTTCATAATGCTGTTTGATCACTAATGTTCTGTAAACAAACCACTGAGGCCTTCACAGAACAGCTGGCTTCATACTGAGAATAAATGGTATACTCAGGTGGCTTCTAAAGGTACTGTAGTGGGTAGCTCTGGATTTTAGTTCAAGATGTCAGAGTAACGTGGGCTGAAGACAAATGCACACCAATTGTAAATAACAAGTGAAAACCATGTATAATTTTCCTTCCTCTTCACAATTTTGTGCTACTTTATGTGGATTTTACACATAAAATCCCAGTAAAATACTTAGAAGTTTGTAGCTGCAAGGTGACCGAAATGTGAAAAAGTTAAATGAGAACTTTTCATGACACTCTATAAACGTACACTGGAAATATGTATGAATTATTGTTTGTCTGTTTGTTTCCCTCTGACAGAAAGCACTCTGTGATGTGCCGGTGACCGAAACATTGCTCCGGTATGACTATGAAGGCCAGTTCTCCTCTGCTGGCTCAGTGAGCTCCTGTAGCTTAGTGGAATTTGACAATGACCTGGACTTCCTCACTGACCTTGGACCAAAGTTTAAGACTCTGGCTGAGATCTGCTGCCCTCCTACAGCAAAGCCTAAACCTCTTCTGACCCACAAGGCTTCAGGTGCTGTCAAAACAACAACTATGACTGAACCAGTCTTCAAGCCTAAGGTTGAGAAAGATGTTGAGACTAAGCATGTTGACATGAAGACAGAGAAGGTGACATCATCTACTAACGTGGTTAAAAGATCCGTCAGTTCAGTAGGCACCACCTCGCAATCCACAACTCTCCCTAGCTCCCCTCGCTCCAAGGTTACCAACGTCAGTCGTTCTGCTAGCTTTAATCATTCCGCAGGCTTCAATCGTTCTGCCACACTGCCATACCCAACTCAGACCGTGGTACTACAGCAGCAGCCAGTTTACTATGCCCCTAATCCAGTAATGCAACCCATGCACTACTTTATCCAACAAAATCCACCAAACACGATTCTGGTTGACGATAGGTCCCTGATGTTAATGAACGATCCGCAGGGTCTGTCTAGACTCGTGATGAATGGAACCCAGAGCTCCTATTCGGGGCTAGTTCTCCAGGGCATTGATGGCTCTATGAGTCCCAAAAGTCCTGTCAGCCCTACGAGTCCATTCAGAACCACTGTGTTGATGCCTAGTCCAACTGCCTCCCAGGGGTTAGTCTCCATGGAAGGCTGTAAGATAGTAGGGCCAAACTCTGCTGGTGCTTATGTGTTAGTTAATGATAAGAGCAGGCCAGGTGAAGTAGAAGTGAGGGACCGGGGCTCATCTGAAGGCATTTTGCCTAGTGATGTTGTCCTGGTGAAAAAGGCTGCTCCCCCTCAGGGGGTTTTAGGATCAGCAGCCCAGACTACAGAGACCGACTACAGTCACCTCTTAGATCGTGTTGCTAAAAAAGGTAACAATGTATCACAAAATTGGTATATAGGACAAATAGGATTTTGGCAGAAGACGCAAACAGGTTATGGGTCATTGGTTGTGTTTAGATTTTTTAGTAGTCAGCTACAAATATGGATGATACGTGTGGCGACAGTGCGTATACACCTGCACAAATACCACCTGCCAAAAAGATTGTCAATATACATTTTATTACAACTGGAGTTTAAAAGTTTGACTAATGGTGATAACCGTAAAGTGCATTTTTCTAAATATAGCATTCAAAATATATCATCAGTTACAAAATGCAATTTTAAACACAATAAATATTGTAAAAAGACTTGCAAAAGTTTGAATACACTGTCTATTATTTATAATAATGAGAGAAATACTTCAGCAGTGAAAGTCTGGTCTCATGTTCTTGACATTTTCTTGAAAATTATAAATGCTTGCATATTATATGTATTAACACTGTTTAGGTATGTCTGTGCTAATGATTTTTATAGAATACAATTTTCTCTAGTGCGGACAAAGAAATCTTTTAGCACATGACCTTATGTAGTAGACACATTTAGTTTTTAGCTTTTCCTCCGTAGCTGTATGCCACAACTATTACAGATTGTTTTTCTGACTACACATTCTAACAAAAACACAGAAGTACCCATGCAGCACCACGATGGGGTGCAAATGGTCACAATAACAACAAATAAATAAAAAAAACAGAACATTTTTCATTTGAATCAAGATTTTCCCTAAACTCTTTTTTAAATATGGTTACCAATGTCCTTTACTTAATAACAATATCAGTACATAATAAAATATTAATGTTTACTGGATCAGGATGAATAGAGACAGAAAAACGACTCCACGGAAAATTTGGTTTCTATTGTAGGACATCAACAGATAGCATGCATGTGCAAAATGGGTTTTTATTCTGTGGGAATTGGAGATTATCT